CCCCCACCCCATACCTGTGCGTCACCCGGTACTCCCAACCCTCGCAACCTGTGCACCTGAACTCCGGCACAGACGTGGTCACCAAGGCCTCATCCGCGGGCACCCCCCCCCCCAAAAAGAAAAAATTGAGGTCAAGAGAAAGCCACTGCTGCTGTGCACCCATGGCTCTTTTTTTTTTTTTTTTTTCCCTCCTCCCAATGTCTTACCGTCCTTACTCTACCTACTTTTTGTGTACCTGCTCATCTCAGCCAGGAGCTGTGTAGGCCGGAACAGCGTTCCCTAACCAGCCAGGAGGCCAAAAGCCGACAATCTCTGTCGGGGAAAACAAGTAGTATACCCCCAGGAGGACGTGGGAATTGGAAGGACGACGTCGCGAATTGAACCCACGATCTCCTGAGTGCCACCTACGTGCTCACCCGACTGAGCTAGCCCGCTTGGGCCCCAAGGCTCTTTTTTTTTTTTTTTCTTTTAGTTTTTTCCATTGATTTGGGGGGGTGAACCCCGGGAATGGGGGTGGCCACCCCGGGCCCCTGGAATCCTGGCAGGGGTCCGAGGTCAGGGGTCGACAACACTGCTAAAGGGCATGTCTTCCATGGAGACAAATGCTGCAGTCAAAGATACGGGGAAAGCCTGCACCTTGCTGCGAGGTCTGCTGCCGTTTCTTCTCTGCACTTTCTCGAGGACTCGTTCATTATCCACCTCCCTGCACGCCATTCGCTTCACGAGATGTTGCTAATAGGATCTTCATCGTTGCGTGGGTAAGTTTGAAGTTTGTTGAGTTTAAGGGATTGTCATGATGCGAAAAGAACGCACGATCGTCATAGCAGCTGTATTTGGGGCAACTTACTTCCAGTGTTGATACAGCGATAATGACCACGTGTTCTTTCTGGAGGAAGACACTATTTCCAAGAGAGGTGACTTGAGGTCTCGAGGACGTGCTTGCCGGCACATGTAGTGCAGGAATCTGCTCCCCCCTTGTGCTCCTGCCCCTCCTCTTTGAACGCTCCCTTTCCCATTTTTGTCGTCCTGCTGGCATCTTTACTTTTTCATCGAGCATTTGGCATTTGTGCTCATCTCTCAGCCTTGCAGAGTTTTTTTCGTTGAGTCTGAAAAATTTGCTGCTTGGGCGTACGGGTCCACAATGGTGTGCGGCCCCAGCCAAAAACGAAAAGGTGTGCGGCCGCAGCCAAAAACGGAAAGCTGTGCAGCTGTTGAGTCTGAAGTGTGGTTTGTTATTTTCATGTCCCAGAAAAACTGACAGAGTCTCAAGGAGTGTTCTTTCTTGTAGTAGAATTTGAAAGGAAAGCCGATTGAGGATTTGTGACATTCTTTACGGATCTGAATTTGAAGGTGTATTCATTTTGTTCGCTCGAGAGACTAAATGAAACAACTGACAGAGGTGTCAAGGACTTGCTTGCTGGGCAGTTCAGTGGAGGGGTTCAGAAAATGAAGAATCCTTCCATCCTCCATGCTCCTGCCCCTGGTCTGAACACCCCCGGTCTCATATTGTCCTTCCCCTCCTCTGCTGTCTTTTCTTTTGTCATCAGACACTTGCAAGTAAGGTGTAGTGTTGCAGCACACTGAAGCTTGTTCTAGCCAGTCATTGGGCAAAAGGGTGAGAGAGAGAGAGAGAGAGAGAGAGAGAGAGAGAGAGAGAGAGAGAGAGAGAGAGAGAACCATCCCTCCCTCCCTCAAGGGCCTGGTGCGATTCTGTATCACAGAAGAACAGAGAAGTGCAGGTTAAACTTTGAGGTATCAAAGAAAAAAAAAAAAAAAACAGTTTCAACTATGGTATCAAAAAAAAAAAAAAAAAAAAAAGAGTTGACAATGCTTGGATGATGGAGCGGTCAGAATGATGTACAGTACCAAAGACCAAATGAATGGGGAAAGGCATTCGGACCAAATGAATGTGGAAAGGCATTCGGACGTCTGTCTGGATGCATCCAGATTTCAGACCGTATGCATATGCGGACGGGACCTGAGAAATTGACTGTCAGGATGCATCTAGACTGTATGCATATGCATATGCATCAAGATCTGGTCAGGATGTCAATAGGATATTGTGACGGCATGGAGGAAAAGGAGTTTCAAGAGATGGTGTTAAGCTTCCACGTGAATGTTTGTGTATATAATTTTGATCGAAAGTAGTTATCAGAGCATTCGAAAGGACTGGAAAGATCGGGAAGGGACGATTACTCCACAAAAGCTTCAAACCATTGGAAACCTTCAGCAACACAGGGCATGATCATCCTCTTCCTCATCTTCTTCATTCTGTCCAATCTTCTTATTGTTGTTCAGTATGAACTAAATGACTACCAACTTGAAGCACTTCTTCTTCTTCTCCTCCTCCTCCTCCTCCTTCCCTATCTTCCCTTCTCCCTCCTCCCTTCTCCTGCCTCCTCCTCTCCCTCCTCGTCCTTGTCCTCCTCTCCTTCCCGCTCTTCTTCGTTTTCTTTTTTCTTCGTAATGTTCTTCTTCTTCTCCTCTTCCTCCTCCTCGCTGCTCTTCCTTCTCCTCTCCCTACCCTCTCCTTCCTGTCTTCTTTTTTCTCCCCCCTTCTCCTTCTTCTTCCCTCTTTGTTCTTTCCGCTTTCCTCTTTCCTCTCTTCCTTGTTCTTTTTCTTTTTCTTCTTTCTTCTTCTTCTTCTTCTTCTTCTTCTTCTTCTTCTTCTTCTTCTTCTTCTTCTTTCTACTCTCTTCTTCTTCGTCGTCTTCTTTGTTGCGTCTTCCTCTTCTTCATCGTCGTCTTCCTCTTCTTCGTCGCCGTCTTCCTCTTCTTTCTTCTTCTTCTTCTTCTTCTTCTTCTTCTTCTTCTTCTTCTTCTTCTTCTTCTTCTTCTTCTTCTTCTTCTTTCCGTCCTTGTTTTCCCTTCTCCTCCTTTTGCCTAACACGAACTTGGATGTGAATCTGACCTGTTTCTCATTTTTGGCTTCCCAATTTGAATCTGTATCTGACCCTTTTTTTTTTCACCCCCTTCGTTCAAAACTAAGCTATATTCTTCTCATAATTCCACCTTTCACAATCTACCTACCTATACTCCTAAGCCTTTACAGGGGACCCCTGCAAGCATATATCTCTCTCACAATTAAGGTGATGCATATTGCCCCTTGCGGGCCTCGCTCTATTCAGTGGTGGTCAGGGAGTAGGGTGAGGCTGCCGGTGGAGGGGGCTGGCTAACGCAAAAACCAAACCTTTTGGAAGGTAGAGCCTGTTGGAAGGCGGGGAGTGGAGCAGACGGGGACCACTGTTGTTCCCCAGAGGCCCTGGCTGGTCCCCAGCTTTGGGCCTCAGTTCTAAGAAAACAGGACAG